TTTCATAAATATTATATATCTTATTTTGTGACATAGTTTTTTCCTTTGTCATTACATAAAGCTGGTTTATTTCACTACGATTATCTTGATTTTCTTTCCTATCTATACTGCTAAATTCATCATCTTCAGACTTTTCTGGTGCTACATAGGTATACTGAGTAAATCTTACTGCATAATTTCCATCTGCTGTCTAATATAATAAATTATCTTGTGGGGCTAATCTCTTTTGTCCTAAAAAGTCTCCTAATATCCAATCTAATGCTGCATTATCTTCAGAATTAAATTTTTTAGCTGGTAATGCCTTTATTCCTTTTGCGCCTAATAACTTAACTATCTGATCATTTGTAAGTCTATAGTGGGTATTACTTTCTGAAACTGCTAAGCCTAAAAATCCTGTGCAAACTAATAAATTCTTTTCTCCCTTTTTCATATTGTATCCTCTACTCTTTATTCCTATTTTTATCTTTTTATGAAAGGTCGAGGTTGGTAGTAAGAAATCTGGTGTAAAATAAACTATTCCTTCTTTTGAATTCATATCTAATTCATAGCTGCCTAAAATACTTTGTCCTACATCATTAAATCTATCATCATAAAGACATACAAAGACTTTAGTTCCTAAATTTTCTCTGGTTAAAGCTTTAATTCCTACCACAACTAATCCTAAATGAGTCATTTTAAGGTGTTTTTTTACTGCATATTTATAGCTTTCTCTATCTATCAAATTTAGCTCTATTTTTTCATCTTCCTGGGTTACACTAATCATCTGCTCAGCATAATGTTTAAATAGATATTGTTTTTTATGAATCTTACCTAGCTTATATATATATTTAGCTGGAATTAATTCTAATTTCTCTTTCTTAAATTTTTCTATTTGTTGTTCTACATCTATAAATTCTTCCATTTTAACATCTTCATCTTCATTACGCTTTTTACTACTACTTCCTTTTATTAGCTGTTTAAACATTTTAATTTTCTGTAAATTCTACAGGTGGATTTTCTTGGTAATTTAAGCTTTTCAAAATATCTGGCTATATCTTCTTCGTTTACCTGAGATTGGGGTCTATTAGTTTGTCCTTCTACTCCTTTTCCTTTTTGAAGTATTAATTTTTCTAAAGAAGCTAAACGATTTTCTAAGCTATGTAGTTGTTCTGATAAATATTCAAATTTTTCACACAATCTAATAAGAAATAAAATTTCTATATTATTTTGTCTTACTGATATTTTATCTGACTGATTTATTCCTTGATAGCTACTGATTCCTTCTGGGTTATTATGAAAATCTTCTGCTTGTTTTAAAATAATCTGGTAATCTCTATTAACTTTTTTTTTTTTTTTATCACTACTCATAAACTAAGATCTTACAAGTTGTTCTAAAATTTCTAATTTCTGTTTTAGATTATCTTGAATTTGGTTGATTTGTTCTAATTGTTTAGCTATTTGATTTATCTGACTATGGATTTTTTCAATTAATTGTTTAAATTCCAACTCTATTTGTTTTGAGCTGCTATTATTTATGGCTGAAATTACAGTTTCTATTTCTAATTTAGTGGAAAATTTTTCTAAATTTAAATTTGTTCGTTTTTGTAATATTGAACTACACTGGTCTTGGATATAATCTAATTTTTTTATCTTGATCTTTGATTATGCTACAATTATTTCGAAGATGATCTATGGATGAAATAAAAAGATTACTAATTTTATCTATGTCCTTTTTGATATTTTCTGCAAAATTAATCTGATAATCTATGATACTATTTAACTGAGGATTATGTTCACTATGAAGCTGATGTGTAAAAGTACCTTCAAAATTATAACGAAATTTATTTTTATCTATGCTAAGACGATGATTATAATTGCTGAGTTCTAAATCTAAATATTCTACTTTTTTCATACACAAAATTAACTCATACTTTAAAATTATTACAAGCTATTATAACATGAAATTTATAACTAAAATGTCCAAAAATAAAAACTACTCTGTTACCATAAGAAAAATGCATAAACTAACTTAAACTGTCCTAAAACCGAACACTGCTCTGATACCATTTTTTGGGGGGATGAGTTAGTGGTCTACCACTATTTTGAAATTGGGCTGAGAATTATCTAATTAATTCTACAGTTATGCTAATAGGTCTTCAAGCTGTTGTATGGCTAGCTTTAAGGCTTCTTGTTTTACGGTTAGTTGTCTATTTATTTGAGAAATTTTTAAACTATAATTTTCTAGGGATCTGCCAGACGCTAATGATAAAAGAAATTGATACCTTAATTTTTGATTTTCTAATTCTTGTATAAGCTTAGTACTGATTTTGATTTTAATCCTAAGTTCTTCATCTAAAGGCATACAATTTTGATTTTTTAAATTCTTTTATGAACAATATTTCCTTAATATTTCTACTCGGGTTGCTCTTCTTGTATTCTAAAATTCTTTTCTATGGCAAAACTATTTTTAGGCAATGTTTGTTTTCATTACATGTATTCCCACCTTGAAGCTAAGTTTTGTTCAACATAGTATATTTTTATTTTTCATTTTTTACCTTTCCTTTTCTGCCTACAATTTGCCCTCCAACGCCTAACCACGGCTCACACGGGCTCTTCAGCTAAGGTCACTCAGTAACAAAATAGAAAACAACAGATACTACGAAGGTTCAAAGCATGTAATATTAATGAGCAAACAAGCATTCCATAAACTTAGTTTTTCCAAAAAGAAAATAAATTTTTAGAATAGAAAAGTTGCCCTTTTGAAATATTTAAGGAAAAAGAGAAACTACTCACACTTCATATTAATAAGAAATATACTTACAAAGATTTATATTACAGACTTTGGAACTCTGAAAAACTTAGTACACTTAGAGGTTTTTGAGAGGGGTTGGAATTTTTTACAACGCAGAGTGAAGGGTATTTTTCATTCTGCTTCTTTCGTTGGCAAGCATGCCAATTTATACAACACTAAAAGAAAATAAAACAAAACTTAAAAGATTTGCCCAACATTTCACGTCTAAGCTTTTTCTAAATTCAATGCCTATTCAAGCCTAGGCTTTAGGCTTTTTGACAATGGGCAATTATATGCATATATATATATGTAAGGATAATTATATGCATATTTTCTTAATAAAGACAAATAAAGGTTTAGAATAATGATGCCGGGTACTGCTTTGGGCCCCATCGCACATCATTTAATCCTTCATTTTTTGACAAAATTTTGATACTATAATTTATTATAAGACATGTGTAAAGATTTTCACAGCTTTTCTTTAATAAAGCAAGGTAGAGGTTATCTGTTTTATTAAAGTAGTGAGTGAAGGAAAATCCTTATCACTGACAAACTCATACACAAATATTTACAGAATCTTTCGGCGTGCATTTTTCTGATAATTGAAGAGAATCATTATCTTCTATAGATTTTGTCTTCTTTTGCTGGAGTACCAATTATTAATGATGGCCTGTGGAGTGAATCTTCAAGGCGGATTCTTTGAGGAAAATTTACAAAATCTGAAGAGTAAAAAATATGGAATATTTTCAAAATATTATATGAGTCTTAATTTTGAGGTGCACTAAATATTTTTGTATATTTATTAATTTTTTAAATATATTTTCCATAAATAATTTACTATTTAGATATATCTAAATAAGATACATCTAAAAAAGTAAAAAAATTGTTTAAAATTTTAAAAATATTCACTAGAAACCAAAAAATATGAAAAAAAAACTCAATTTTCAAGAAATTGAATTCAAAAAACTGAAATCAAATATACTGAATGACTTTTTTTATTTTATTTCATAATGATAAGCTGAGCCGAGCATATTAGAATTTCTCATTTCAATACAAAATAATAATAATAATAATAATAATAATAATAATATTTTTTCCCAATAAATGTCTTAGAATATAAGAAAATAATAAAATAAACAAAGAACACAAAATCAAAACATTTTTTAAATTTTTTTCACATATTTTAAAAATATTTTTTACTCTAATTCAAATATTAGACAATGCCAGAGACATTCATTAGTATTTTTCAAAAAAATATAAATAAAAATTTAGATAAATTACAAATACGAAGTTTACTTAAAATATGCGTCTCTTTATGTTTTGAAAAATTACAAATAGCTCATTTTTAGAATTTTTTATTTAAAAGAATTATTTGAAAAAAAAAATTTTAATTGCTTTTCTATAAAATAATAAAATTATTTGAATTATTAATTGAAATAAAATCTTGATATCATAAAAAATTATTAATTAAATTAATAATTTATTAATAAAATGACAAATTATTATGAAATCCAAAATGTTAAGAGAGGAGTTATAATTTTTAGAGTTATAAATGATAATTTATATTCTAAACAAATCTTAGGATTATATTTATAATTTATCCAAAATGTTAAAAATCTGAATTTGACAAGGCTCTTTATGGGCTGCGCTGGTCATGGGTCGTGGCAACTTAAGGTGGTGTTTGGTTTTCTTTGTGGCTAAATAATCATACAAGGATAAAAAAAAATTAAAAAAATTACAAAAGGACAAAATAAGTAAAAAGATAAAAAAAAATACATCATTTCAAAGCCAAAAAGTTAAATAAGAATACCAAACGACTAAAAACGTCTCAAGCTAAAAAATTAAAAAAAGCTAAAAAGTCAACTAAAAAAGTCATTATCAAACGAAGGCTAAGTTTCATCGAGAGTTCTGTGTTTGGCCATGTTTGGAGGAGGAATATGTTAAAATACTTCATTCAAAAGATAAAATAAATTTAAATAATTAATAAAATAAAATATTATATTTAATTTATAATTATTTTTTTGGTCATAATTATCAAATAATTAAAAAAAAAGTCAACTAAATTTCTAAAAACAAACAGCTACTTAAAATAGTTAACCTTCCGAACAAGGCCGTTATTGGCTTTTTTTTGGGAATTTCATGTGCCCACACGGCCGTGTTCTACTGGCGTTCACACAGACACGTGGAATCTCCAGAAACACCTGATAAATTTTTCACTTCGTCGATGCATTCCGTGCATCATCAGATTACTGGCTCTCGGACACACAGAGAGAGAGAGAGAGAGGGAGAGAGAGAGAAGAGGCAGCGGCAAAATCAGAAACCTATAGATATACATATACATACACACATACATAAATACATATATGTACTTCCAGTTTATCTATCTGTCGTCTAAATTTTTAAATGGAAAACAGGGGGAGTGTTCATCGCAAGATCGATGCAGAGGAAGTTATATCGAAGCTAAAGGACGATGGCGATTTCGATAAGCTCCGTCTCAAGATCATTCGCAAGCTCAAGGAAAACGTGAGTCTCTCTCTCTCTCTCTCTCTCTCTCTCTTTCATTCTAGGGTTAGGAGATTATGATTTTTCTCTCTCTTTCATTCTAGGGTTGGGAGATTATGATTTTTCGAATGTAATTTGTTTTTGAGGCGTTGAATCTTCAGATTTAGTTTTTTTTTTTTTTTGTAAAAGTAATTGTAGTAACAGATGAGTCTACTACGAGTTTGTGAGCTTATGTGATACTAAACTATCGAATTGAAAGGGAAAGAAAAGGGAATTTTCCAGGAAAAAACGATTTAGATGCCCTTTTAATCAAATTTAGCAGAGTGCAAAGGGCTTATTGCATATGTGGTGGTCAAAGATTTATCTTTTTTGATATTCTGATTGAGTCTCGCTTAATTCACAATGCTTGCACAAAATCAAGGTTCCTAACATCCTAATGTGACTGGAAACTAAAGCATGTTTGGTTTGGTTTTTGTTTTTTGCATTTTCGGAAACAAAACAATGTGAAGTTCAAAAAGAACCTTTTAATTTTTTCGCAAAAGCAGTTTTTTAAAATTTGAAAACAACTTTTCGGTAAAATTGTTTCCAAAAACTGTTTTTGGAAAAATATTATGCCACTTCGTAAAGCTATCTCTAACGGTTCACCAGATACATCACCAAATTTGAATTTGGTGAAAAAGTAGACCTTTTTTGGCTCCAACAGTTTTATTTATCAAAACGATATCAAATTGAGAACGCTCCAAAATTTTTATCAAACTGAAGATGTCTTGCACCTTTTAACAATTTACTGTGTATAGTCATTGAGTGTGGATCCACCAGACGACCGGCCGTACGTGCGGCCAGACATTCTCCCGGATGACCACCTCTAGTAAAATTTTGTGAAAATTTTACACTGGGAGGTTGACTCCCCGGTCAACCCCCAGGTCGACCACCTCTTTTACCAAATAAAGCTATTTCATTGCTTCTTTGCAACTGTGTCATTGATGAATACAGCAGAGCATCTGTATTATTTGATCTAATTGAATCCTCAGGCAAATTTGAAACAGACCCAACACTCCTAATCAAATCAATAAAAGATGTAACTTTTGAATTTGAGTTCATAACAATCGAAGCAGATTTTTTAGAACCCAGAAAAATAGATAGTAAACCAAAGCCTACTTTTTCCCATAATTGAGAAACAGTGATGATAAGCTTTGGTTTGCAATCTTTGATTAGTTTCGAAAGCTCAAAGACTATGTACATAGGATTTACAGTAGCTGTGATAGCGCCGGTTGCGATGATTCCGAAGAAACAAATAGGGAATTGGATTGAATTTGGGGCGAAAATGAGTACAACATCGTTTTTCTTGATACTTAGATTGAACAAACCATGAGATGGGTTATGGATTGAGCAAACCATCGTTTTCTCTAGTTTTGAATATGGAACACAAAGTAGAATTTTTTTTTTCCCCATTTACTCTTGATGGTTGACCGGTCGGACGACCGGCCGGTCGACCCCCCGGACAACCTTTGTTTTGATGACAGCTATAAATTCACCGTTGGAGTGACTGATATCAGATAGAGGAATTCGTACTTTTTTTATTTAGATTTGATGAAATATTTGGTGAACCGTTGAAGATGCCCTAAGAAACACAAAAAAGTTATTGAGGAATTTTTTTTAAAGTCCTTCTTATGAAGATTTTATAAGATAAATGGCATGCACTATTTTCATAGTAGTTGGGGTGTTTCAATATTTTCACAGAGAAAATTTGACATAGAAATTTCGTTCCGACATAGAGAAAATTTAGTTTTCACAGAGAATTTTATGATTTCATAGAGAAATTTTGAAAATTTTCTGATATGATCATAGAGAAATTTCATTGAGGGACCTTAACTGATAAAAAAAAAAAACAAACATATTGAACCTTTCCTACTACCAAAGTTAGAGAGAGATGTTTCACAAATTTTCTCAAAGTTATTTTCAAATTATTCTTTTGTATGCGGTTTTTTTTGTTTTTGTTTTTGTTTTTGGTTTTGGATAATGAAAACAAAACAAGAACACAACCTAAGAAGTATTGACACGGACACGTGACACGATACGGACACGCCGATATGTTAATTTTCAAAAAATATAAGATACGACAAGTGGGGGACACGCATGAAATATATAATTTTATATATTTATTATATGTTATATATATAAATATATCATTCAAAGATAATAAAAAATACAATATGACTCTAATTCTTATAAATTTATATGGGTTTTGTTTTATTATTGTATCTTAAGTTGTTTTGTTTTATTGTTGTATCTTAAGTTATTTTGTTTAAACTTATAATTAGTTTCACATGTGTCTAAGCGATTGACACGTGTGTTTAAGCGATTGATACGTGTGTCCTCTAAGTGTCCAACAAGTGCTTGGGTCTTTAAAAAAATTTTAAAAATAGGATACATTTTGAAGAGTGTCGGACACGTGTTCTATGAGTGTCCAAAGAGTGTTGGTGTCTGACACGGACATGACATGGATACGTCACCTTCTTAGAAGTGTTCGTACTTCTTAGAACACAACCAAACAAACCCTTTGGTTGTTGCTCCATTATAGCATTAACAGTGAAAAGAATTTAGCCGCCCAGTTTACTCGACAATGAATTCAAAAACTATAGTAATTTGATCATGTTGAACTTGGATTGATTGTTCATGGTGCATTATACCTTCTGTAGTTTTTTTTGTGGGATAAATAATCCTCTTTTATTTGCAAATTTAATGATATTTATTTTTACAAATTTTAGGCTTATAAAAGTGTTTTCTTTAGTATAACTTATTACGATGTTTTTGCTATGAATGAAATAATTAGAGCTTTGTTTTCAATTTGTAACACATTTTGTTCCCTCCTAGATATAATTCAACATATAGGATTTTTCTGGTTACTTAATTTGCTTTATAGAAATAGAATGATCTGTCTACTAGAATTTTCTGTAGTAGTTTGCTGGTTTTGTTTGGTGCTGGTAGTAGAGAATTGTTAATTATGGTTATGGTTTTGGCAGAATAGGCAGATAATCAGATTCATATGAATTAATTAGAGTCTGATTGTTTAGGTCTGTTATTGTTTTGTTGCTCCCGTGGGGGTAAACCTTTGTTTTCTTGCTACTAATTTTGGAAATAAAAATTTTCCTTTCTTTGGCAATTTATGGCAGGAAGATCTGCGTAATAGCATTATCTCCATGGTGAAGCAATCAGCTGCCCTTAATTGTCCAGGAGTTGAAAGTATGAAACCCCGGCAACTTTCTGATGCCATACATCAAGAAGTTGGGTAAGTTCTCAATTTTGTGTGTGTGTGTGTGTGTGTGTGTGTGTGCCTGTGTGTGAATATCAGTGCATATAACGTTTGTAAATACCTATAAAGAAATATTTGTATGTTACAGTGGAACCGTTTTTAGTATTTTGCCACTTAATGTTTCGTGGACACAATCTGGTAATTAGGACTTTTAGGCCAGTTAGGGAAGACCAGTAGGAATGTATGGTTGCAGCATCACACCTGGTGACAGTAATTTTTTTAACAAAGAATCATGAATAACATAAACAGTTGAATTTGAATTCTTATTCTGTTGTATTTCTGAACTCTAGGGACAAAGTGATGAGCCAAGTTTCGGATAGTCTGTGGGAAATAATCAGATCCAGTGATAGCATGAAAAGTGAAATTACTGAAACAGTCCAGTCTGTTTACAATAAATTGTTAAACCCTAGAGGGAATGAAGAGAGAGGATCATCCTCGCTAAATAGCTTGATGCCAGTTCAGAAGCAAGCTGATAATATTATATCTCAGACAGCTTCTCCTGATGAAGTGGTTGGCATGTCCGATAATGAGCCTGAGGAACCGCCAGGTTTCTCTTTGTTGAATAAGAACAACCACGTGGAGCAACCAAAGGAGGAGCTACAGCTGCCTATGCCTCATCATAGGAGACCTGTTCAAGAGCAAGGCAAAGAGTCCAACCACACAGATGATGAGATGGATGAGGATAGTGGCCCACCTGGCTTTTGTCCCGGAGGGGAGTCCAAGCAACCATGCGGTGGTAGTGATGATGATCCTGATGTGCCTCCAGGTTTTGGTTGATGAGTAATTGTAAAATTTGTTTTGTCGCTGGTGTATACATACCGTAGACAGCCATCAGACTCGGTAGACCATACAGAAGAGGTTTCACTGTGAGTAGTTGCAGATTGTTTCTTTCAAGGTTGTTTATAATCTTGGCAATAGGTGAGGAATTCGAATCTCTATATTTAAAATGGTTTAAGTTCAGAAGCTTTAAGAAATGTTGATAAGGATTCATTTTCTATTCAATGGCAATCTTGGTATCTGAGTTTTATCAGAGTTCTACACGAATTGCAGAGCTTTCAATAACTTGATCCATTAAATGCCGTAGTATGTTCCATTCGAAATTTTCTTTATTAACTGAATGTTATAATGGACTCCTTATCGCTGTTGTGAAATGTGTAGACCCTTGACTTTGGTGTCTTTCTATGGACACCTATGCTTACTGGAAGGAAAAAAAAAGTTCATAGAGCTTCCCCCTAACCACACCACCTCAATGAAGGTTTTTGAAATTTCTAGTTTCTAGTTGTCAATTATGGCTAGTGAGTTGCTGATGTTTGATTTTTGGACAATATTCCCCATGGTTCATAATGGCCGAACCTGATAGGGAAGTACTAGGATTTATTTTATTTTTCTGTTTTATGGTTCATGATGTTAGGAACAATTTTTATTATTGTTGTTGGTACTGTGTTGGTTAGGACCATTATAAGGATGTTGAAGAATTCTGTCTTGTAATCAGTGTACTTAAATTGAGATAGTGTTTCCTCTATTTTCCCACCTATCTCTTCAAGTTGTTCTGGGATGTTTCTCCTTTCAGAGAGTTTTTTTTTTTGATCGGCAAAATAAACCTTTATTGATGAACAAAGAAATCATTACACCAAGAGTTGGTGAGCAATCAACTGAAACCAAGAAAAAACAGCAATAAACAAAACAAACAGCAGCAAAAAACCAGCACCAAAAGACACCAAAAAACAGCACCAAACTCAGCACCCAAGCAAAAACACCAGAAAACAGCTCTGCAGCACCAGAGAGTAGCAGCAACTATCAGTAGCAGCATTGCCAAACTGCAGCAAGAGGCAGCAGCAGCACCTAACAGGGATAGTTCAGAGCCCAACCAACAACAGGGCAGCTAACAGAGGACTACAGCAGAACAGAAAAAGGCTCAAGGCTTTAACAGCAAAATTATTAGCTCCATCAGGTGTTCACTTAGCATTCCAAGTGAAAAACTCGTCATCTTGATAACCTGAAAGATGTTCCTTTACCATCTCATTTGGAATCTGAAATGTCATTAGACATCTGAAATATTGGTGCTGTTCAATCAATCTTTGATTCATACCTAATTTATTGATAGAACTTATCTGCATGTGTGTTCCCCGATCGTTTCGAGTGAAAAAGTTCAGTTTCGTCAGATTGTTAGGTTGGTGTTAGGAAATTACTTTCCAAAAGTGAAAGATATTCTGGCTTGTGGTTGGTTATGTAGTAGGTTAAGGATATGAACTGTTAAAGAAAAGCATGGCTATTTTGTGGATTGTGAGGAGTTGAAATATCTTAGATTTGGAGGTGATTAATTGCAGGAAGTTTTGGACAGCAACTAAAGCAATGGAGGAAAACTTAATTGGAAAATAGTGGGTAAAACGTGAATTAAGGCCTCATTTGGGAATAAGTTATTTTAGTATTTTTTTGACTTTTTACAAAAAGATGTGCATAAAATTAAAGGGAGTGATGTAACAACTTATAGTGTCTTTTTGATTTTTTTTTCTAAAATGTATAGTTGACAAACGAGGCCTAAATTCAATGACAGAAAAGAAAGGATGAACAGGATGGAATGGAAGATTTCCAAGGGGGACCTTGGTCAAGACTGTTTTAAATGTATAAAAGATAAAAGCAAGTGTTAGGATTTTAGAAGTGCTTTTAATGAAAAGATATAGAGATTAAACACTTGTCTGTACATCAATGAAATGATCAGGCAGATAAGGAGAAGAATCTCTTAAGAATCTCATTCAGAATTCTTTGGAGAGAATCTCATCCAGAATTCTTTGGAGTCACAAGCGGTCAGGTTAGGGTTACATCTCATAGTCATTCAAAGCTTTAAACGCATCTTAGATTGCCAAAACTCATCTCCATTGAATAGCAGGAAATATGAATTAGATGGACAGATAGTCGATCGCACTTGTTGCTTGGATTTTCTGATTCCTCACTTGAGCCTAACAGCAATTACATTCCTAACAAGTTGTCTAGCAGATACCCATGAGATATACCCTTGGGCAAATTCACTGGTCCTCTCACTGTTGCTGCTGAATGACACCGAATATGTCATCTTCTGTTTCACCTTCGAGAAGAAAACTCATCAGGCTTGACACTTGCATCAACTCCGCGTGGTGCTACAGTTTTGACAGAATAATCTGAATATACCTCACCAACGTTTGTCACGGTCCTAGTAAACGTTGGAGATGGTCCCAGTACAATAGAAAATGAAGGGTAGTTTAGTGTCCTTCAGGTATGCTTGATTCTTCTGAACACTTGATTGTTCCATGTGCAATGATCCTGACTTCTTTATCTGTGTAGCCTTTCCCACATAAATTAGGTAGATAATCATCAGGTTGGATATCGTAAACTAACCCAGGATCATTTGATTTTGATGGGTTTACATGCCCAGCACCAGTCAATAAGATGTCTACAGCATGAAGCGTTTGATCAAGAATTGGTTTGCCTTGGAGGTTTAACAAATCAACTGAAGTCATTATAGCAGATTTAATGGCAGCTGGTGACCAAGAAGGATGAGAGCTTTTGAGCAAAACTGCAACACCACTGAGATGAGGACACGACATTGATGCGCCACTGATTACATTGAAATTGGATTTTGAATTTGTATTGTCGTTGAACGAGAATGGCCATGCTGCTAGAATGCTCACTCCTGGTCCAATGATGTCAGGTTTTAGAATCCTGGGGCTTGCCAAGTTAGGGCCTCTCGAGGAGAAGGAAGCAACGACAAGAGCAGAAGAGTCTCCAATGACAGTTCCTTCGAATAAAATTGCTGCCACAGGCGTGTTTGTTGAATTAATGTAGGCTTTGATCTTGAGTCTGGCTTGATGGCTCACATGTGTTGCAGGAAGAACATGAGCATCAGCTGTAGTACTGAAGCCATCTGCTTGAGCGTTCACGAGAATCATAGCCACTCCACCGGCATTTTAAACTTCTTGTCCTTTAGCAATTTTGGCTATCACTCCTCTGCGCTCACATAATACTACCTTTCCATTGACATCAGTACCGTTCAATGATCTTTCAGCGCACAACAGTCTTGTGTACTGTTCGAGCTAGCATCAATAAGAGGGAATAACTTTGGAGGGAAGTCATCAGGCTGGAACAAGGATTCACTGTCAAATTCTTCCCCATTTCCGAGCTTTGCTGTCACTCAAATGCTTCTGTCAATGGTGCTCGCTCCAACAGTTAGAATCCATGGTGCCTCGTTTGACAGTACTTTTGGCCGGGCCGGAGTTCCCTGTCGAGCAGCTTACAAATATACCTCGTGGAATCGCTGCAAATGAGCCTCGCAGATGTTGTCCTCAAAGAGCGGCTGTGAATAATCAATTATAGAGATTGATATCACATCAACACCGTCCTCCCACAGCAGCATTGAGCCTAGCTAATATATCGCTGTCTAGACAATACTGTTGAAAGCACACTTTGTAAATCGCCAAGTGAGCTAGAGGCGCCATCCCAACTGCTGTGCCCCTGGCATTGTGTTAAGGTGGGCCCATCCAAGGGTCAATACCTTGATGCCACACACATTTGTGCCCTTTGGAGAGCCAAAGACATGCCTAAGAAGTTGTTGGTGCAAGTGCAAGTAAAGGCGCAAGGCATGGTGCAAGATAGTTCAAGACATGCCATGAAGCAACCTAGCCACCAAGTGGCAACTTTAGGCCAACTTTTAGAGGGTCAAATGTAATCTTTTTGCCTTGTAAATTTTTATGTAAATACCTTAATATTAAAGGTGTTTTGGGACCAAGAGTTGTAATTTTTCTCTTTTTGTAGAATTTTTAAAAATTCATTATGACTCCTCAAACATAGTGGATGTTTCCTCCTGCCAGTTAGGAAAAGGCTTAACAAGCTATATATAAGGAGGGGTACCCAAGTGTTGAGCCAAACCTTAGTTGCACGAAGCGGGAGCGGGAGCGGGAGCGGGAGCTGGAGCGGGGAAGCGTGGCCATGTAAAGGAGTCGTAATTTGGGAGCGTTTATATATTATTTTTATTGAAATATTTTTAATTTATCTATATAAACATTTTTAAAAAAAAATTAATTAACATATATATGTTAGAAATTTTTTATTTTTATTTAATATTTAATTAATTAAATACAACATAAAAAATATTTTTTAAAAATGAATAACAAATAAAAGTAGTGGAGTGATATTTTTTAGAACTCTAGTCATTATCTTTGAATAAAATTTATTATATTTTATTTAATAAAACAACAATCATGTTTTATTTAAATACTAGCGTATGTCCGTACCTGAAGGCACGATGTAAATAATGTTAGTATTAGAATATAATTGTAATCCCAACACTATTTAAATTTATTTTTTAATTTGATAAAATCACAAATTTATTATAAAATTTTGGAGTTCTTACAAAACTTCTCACGAAAATTAACTTAATATATATATATATAACCCATTACATTTATTTATATTTATAAATGTAAAATAAATAAATAGAAAATATATTAGAATAATTATAAATACATTTAATATTTGAATAAAATATAAAATATTAAATAAAATAAAATAAACAAAAACAAGAGAGAAGAGAGAAGAGAGGCTCAGACAGAGGCGAGACAGAGAGTGAAGGGGAGGAGGCGATCGATCGATCGATCGAGAGGAGGACGAGACGAGATCGAGGGAGAGAGGAGACGAGTCATGAGATCGAGATCGAGAGAAGAGGGAGGGACAGACCGATCGAGAGGAAGAGAAGACGACAGATCCGCGATCAGATTCGCGTTTCTCTATCATCAAACTCGCGATTCTTCTGCGAATCTGAGTCAGAAGTGCAGAATCGTGCTTTTGAGGAAGAATCGTGAGCAAGTTGAACGATTCCTGCTACTAAGAACCAGACCACTTGTGCCTTTAATATACCCCAACTTAACTTATGGTAAGGTAACTTTTGTAGCACTTTTAGTGTATTGTTCAACTATTGTAATGCCTTTTTTTAAGTAATGAAAAGTTCTTTTCGCCTTTAAATTGTGCAAAGCCTTTCAATTGTTGCTTACTTTAATTTTAGCTTGTTGATTGTTATTTTGTGGCTTGTCTCTAATCTTGTGGCTCATCAACTAAACTAATATTGTGTTTGTTTGTCTTTGCAAACCTTTTGAGCTTTATTAGTAGGCTAGTGGAGAGAGTTAACTAGTACCATACATACTCGCATATCTTTATCAAGGCTTCTGCATTACCAGTGTGTGACACATTGCCAAGTGCATCAGCGTTCTTCACAAATCTGCCGGCAGCTGTGCTTGCTGTGTGGGTCCCGTGGCCTCTATCATCAACAGGTGGCTCGGCTCACAGGCCCTTCACCTTGGCTGCAAGATTAAATGACCTTGCTCCGATAACTTTGTCGTTACATCGTGTCGAATTGAATTCATACTTCCCTCTCCGTTTAGCTGGTGGAGGTGTTTTTCATCGCTAAACGAAGGATGGCTAGGCAATACTCCAGTATCCAATACTCCAATAATTACACCGTCTCCAAAATTTGTTTCTTTCCAGAACCCAAGTTCTTGGTGCAACCCTAGGAAGTGGGGTGTGTGAGTTGTCTGCAGTCGTAACATCCTTTCTGGACGTGCTGACACAAACCCGTCTTTCTCTTTCATGGCTTCGACCTCCTCCTCAATCAGTCTCGCTGCAAAACTGCTAATTGCGTGCTGATATGAGTAAATCAAGCGGTGATGATTGTCTGAGGCCAATGTAGTTCCAGCAGGCAGAAATGACTGATGGTAACTCTTTACACCATCCGACTGGGTGTAAACTTTTCGCTCCAGCCGCTCTACAATATCTTCAGGTCTGGAGAAAACTCAGCTTTTCAGCAACTTTACATGGACTATGTAGGTTTCCAAAATGCTTGGCTCTTTCTTGTTGCTTGTCAATGGAGTTTAAGCTATGGTGGGGAATGAATTAAACATGCACATGAGACTCAGAATCAACATGAAAGCCATGCTTGGCGACACTTCATAACACCTCATGATTGTAAAAGAACTACACACACATATAGGGGGAGAGAGAGAGAGAGAGCAGAAAACAGGGGAGCAACTACCAAGGTTTTTCTTCAGTCATTAAGGTATGTTTTGAGTTTTTTCTTCAATCATTAATCTATCTTTTGAGCTTCTCTTTATAGCCACATAATTACGTAGATTACCCTTCCCTACCAAGATTTTTCTTCAACTATGAATCCATCTTTTGGGCTTCTCTTACAGCCACATACCTAGAGATTACCCAGACAAGCAGTCCTCCATAAATCTAACTGTAGTTAACAAAACATAACTCGGAAGTTGATGAAAATATTTGACTGTTTGAAAACAACTTAGAGGTACAACCATTAGTGTATGCTATATACTAACCATATAAAAGTAATATATATATATATATATATATATATAATAGTTGATAGATTAATCAGTGAACCTAGATTGAATGGGTAACAGGGGTTAATTAACAGAAATTTAAATTTAAATGTGGTTAAGAACACTTAAATTCACAAAGCACATGATCAAAGGGGTACACATCTTAGAGCATCTTCCAGCTTTCACCAAATCTTTTTTCAAATTTTGACAAAAATGACCTCCAATCATTCATCTAACTTGTTTCAAATTAGGTTTTTACTAAATTTTTCACCAAATCAATATAAAAACAAACTTTTCAACAAAGTTGATAAAAGAATTTTTTGGGGATAAATTCAGAATTTTTAAAAAGGATGTGATGAAATTTTTAAGTGAGTAAGGGTTGGAGCATTTAAAATTTTTACCAAATCAAGCTTTTAGTTAAATTTGATGAAAGGTTAGAGCACTTCATATCAAATCAAACTTTTAACCAATTTTTTTAAAATTCAAATTCGATGAAACAAAAGATGAAGGATTAGAGATCTTATTAATCACCATCTCTATTACTTTTACTTACAAAGCCTGTTTACAGTCTTTAAAAAATTTTTTTTTGATTTGTTTTGTTTTGTTTGCAAAGTTTCAAAACTTTTGAAAAATAAATTTAGAACATCGATGTTAAAAAAAATGGATCATGGTTTAGAACACATTCGAAATTAAGTCAATATTTTTCAAACTATAATCATCTAGTTATTTAAATTTCTTGAAGTTAAATTAAAATCAGAAATATTTTCATACTTGATTATGGTATCCAAATATGATAAGCCTAACATTGTAAATTGTTTTGATAATCAATTTTACTCATTAGAGCAAACCTGTTTTTCAAAACAATGCATGTCATTTTGATTTATTAATTTTTTTGATTCAATATATGCTATTGAAACATTTCAGAGCACAACAATCACTACAAGAATTAACACTTTTGCCGACCAAAAAATTGGTCGCTAAAAGCCTATTTTTGGTCGGCAAAAGTAATCCGCGACCAATTTTTTTGGTCGCTACTTTGGTCGCCAATTGAGGGTCGGCAAAAGTAATTCGCGACCAAAATTTTGGTTGGTCGCGAATAGTCGGATTTGCCGACTAAATTTTTGGTCGCTAAATATATCATTACCGCGACTAATTCATTTAGTCGCTAAAACACTTTGGTCGCGAAAAGTGATATTTTCCCGACCAAATATCTTAGTCGCCAATTGACACATTTCGCGACCAAAAAGTTTGGTCGCCAATTATCACATTCAACGACCAAAAAGTTTGGTCGCCAATTGTGACATTTCACGACCAAAAAATTTGGTCGCCAATAGTCAACGAATCGCCGACTAACAATTTAGTCGCCAAAAGGTAAGGAATTGCCGACCAATAATTTTAGTCGCAAAAGTGTAGAATTTGCCGACCAATTTTGTAGTCGCCAAATCTCTATTTTTTTTTTTTTTTAGAACATTCAATTTTTGTTTTTAAACATTCAATCCAATATCGAACAAAATTCATTCAACCCAACCACAATTAAGGAACAATAACATGTAAAAAATTAAAAATTGCTCATAGTTTCGGTACCACAATTGAAGAACAAAATTCATGACACACAACCAAAGAAATTAACTAAGAAGAAAACTTGAGAATTTAACTTGTATACAAGAGCAATAGTACGTACAATATGGGATTTGGCAAAAACAATCACTAAAAATTCAATCTCAAACTATACTTTGCTCTCACCAAAAATTATAAGAACAAAGAAATCAAAGAAAATAACAAGGTATGAGACTATTGGAACAGTTCTTCAACTCTTTCTGTAGTACGCTCATACCACAATGACATCCTATTGCAATTTCATCCAATCTGAACGGGCATACTTAGGATTCAAGCCCAACAACTTGCAGTCTTCATCACTTATACCCTTCAGGACATTTAAAACCTGTAAAAATGTCATATAATGCTCCCTTTGTAAGTCTTGATCAGCTAGAAATTGACAAGAACAAAACATACACGCACAGAATTTGGGACAGAAAATGCATTCTGTTAGTTACCCAAGCAACACACTTCTTCCCCCAGCACCTTACCACAAAGTAGGCTAAGAGAAATATTTTACCAGTCAACGGTTATGATTCTTTTATTTAGTTGCATGAAGATCCTCCTTACAGAATGCTCCACTTCATAGATAATATATAATACCAACTGTCATGGACATAAGAAGAAGAATAAGAAGAATAAGGGGCTGATAGAAGTCTAAGCGCATTCTTGTGACTATTAAGGAAGGGAGGCTGCAACAGATTCAAATAACCAGAAAGCATCTGATCCTTTCAAGTGGGCTCAATGTTTCATAAATCAAAGCAAATTGGCTCACAGGAAGTTCACAAATTGACATCAATAAAATTGTAGTTGTCGTCTTTTGGCAATTAAGATTTGATAAAATAAAAAATAATAATAATAATATTAATACAAATTAGCTATCCATTTCTGATTGGGCATTATTACTTCGTAACAAACAGCATTAATCTGGGATTACAATTATGTTTGGAGTTGGATTCCATACCATACCCTTTACTTCTTTCCTACTCTTCTCCAAGTAAATACAAGAGCTTCACAGACAATACCCGTTATTATTAACAGAGTGCAATCATAGAACTAACTATAGGATCCGGAAGAACTTACATAGAAAGGAATATAAGTTTGTCTGCCATTAACAAGCCCACTTGTGTAGCCTGTGTACCCGGCCATAGCTCCATGAACAGCACTCTGAGCAATGAGTGTACAATACACATTGTCAGCTGCATTGCTTGGAATAGCCCGGATCATGTATGTAGGATTTGTCAGAAAAATTGATCAGGTCCAAATCTTGTTATTTCCCTTCGCAGCACTCTGTTTGATAATTTCTCCAAGTTCAATTCAAGAAGAAACATAAGACAAACAAGAACGGGAAGTGAGAGGTTACTGACCTGTATATTTAAGAGTAAGAACCATCTTATTTCGTTTTGCAAAATGTTCCTACAAAACAGGAAAGAACTAGTAAGCGACAGCACGAACCTGTTATATTATCACTTGGGAATGCTCATCTTATAGAAAACAAAGAAATCACAAAATATCATAAAACTAAATTCATCAATGAATTATCCATTTCCATTAGATAGCCATGTAATTTTACACTTGTTGTCATGAAGAACATCTGCATGTTTACAAATTGAGAACGTAAATTGAGAGGTATAAGATGCGAAGTTTAGGAAAAATAAAACAGGGGAATAGTTTTTTCCCCCCTCTTTTTGACTAGATAGATTCTCAGTCAGAGGATTAAAACTAGGAAAATTAAAGATCAACAAGCAGCATCACTAGTCCAGAAGAAGAAACTGGAGACTAGAAAAAGATAATACATTAATATACTTCCAAATAGCCTCTGCATAAAAGAAGACAGCTCCAAAAGAATACGTAATGAACTTAAAAAAGTTGTTTACATTATGCGGCCCAATAATGGTGCCTGTCCATGAACGCATGTAGATGTCATCTCCATCATCCATTCCATAACTCACATGTACCAAGCTTTTTTATTTATGTTTTCTGTTTAACAACTATAATAGTACCAAACTACCATAGCCACCAAAGGTGGAATTTTTCAATCCCAGGACACAACCACCAAACAAGATACAACACACAAAAAGGCAACAAGCATCTAAAGAAGCCAAAATAAATCACAAGGAACTACAGCCCTCAGCATGTATTTCCCAATGCCTTCTCACACATCTATTGGACGTATAATCCTGTCAATGTGGGAATACACAAACAAGCAAAGCCCCATGGGCAATAACGCTCCAACTGTTCACTCAGTGCAATAATTTTCATTTATTATGACAATGTTATTGTTCTCTGCAAGCCAGGATCTTTGAGGGGGAGGAGCCTGATAGGAGTTTTAAACGCTTCTTAAACAGCACTCATATTGCAAAAGGTGGAGCAGGAGATACCATGGACTTCATTCTAAGTAGTTTGATGGGATTTGTTTAAAAAACATTGGTCCAAATGCTAGCTTTAAGATCAGGGACACAGGCAGAGGGTGATACAGTAACAGATTCTCAAAATGAGCCCATTGAAGACAACCAAACTTTGTAAATGGCTCTAGTGGCTGATAAGTATGTGGATTCTAGCATTTAAGATAAAATGTCTGGGCATTGAGAAGGCATACAACCATGTGTTTTCCTTATCTTGATCACTCATTGGGTTCAACTTGCAAGGCCAAACCTGTTCAAGACTCAGTGGGATAGAGTATGGTTTTAAATTGTGATCGTAGACCCCATTGTTAGTATCTGTGTGCTGTTATGTAATATCAGCCATACCCATGCACTATAACAAAAATGATGGTGCTACATGCACCAATTAGTGTGCTAATTAGTGTACCAACACTAGTTATGACATTATTATTGACCCCACTCATTAATCACATTACAAATCCCAAAAACCTTTTAAATTATGTCACATCATCAATTGGTACACTATTTAGTACATATAGCATTATTCTAACAAAAATTATCAAAAATAACATAACATAACATAAAGTGTGAATTGATGCTGAAACATCTGCTACCATGGCAAATGATCACCTAGCATCTGGCTGACCTACCATAGGTTTCCAAGATAGAGCAGTTGTCAGACACCATCATACCATGGCTATTGTCTTTATGTTTTGAAACATTGCTTCTTTGTTAAACTTACCACTGACTGACACGGTCTTTCATAAAAATAGAAAATAACCAATTAAAAGGCAAATATATATATATATAGAGAGAGAGAGAGAGTGTTAAATACAGTTTGCTTAAAACATACCATCAGGTGAAAAATCTCTTAGAGGCACTGTGATCTGACTCCTTTCTTCTGATCCAGATAAGGTACCTGCAGCATCTCCATCTTCTATATCCATATCTACCTGAAAGATTTGACATGAGAAACCAACAGACTAGTAATAACATCTACAAAAATTATGAACTCCAAGGGGTTAAAAAAAAAGTTACAAACTACTGTTAGATTAAAATTAGACATCGTTAACTTGGTAAATGCATAATAAGAAATTCTCGAGGAAGAAATTAATAATTTTATTTCTGTTCTCTGTTTCCTCCCATTCATAGTACACTCTAGTCTTCTCTTTTCAGTAGTTTAAATATTTCCACTGGATAAGAGACACTTCCCCATATTGATGGTCTGCTGGAATCATAGCATGAAAAACATGTCCACATCTAACACCAGTTTAGACAATAATAACAAGACAAGACACTGCTTTTATTACTCTGACAATGTCCACAAGAACAAAGTGTATCTTGCCTCTTCATTACAAACTGAAGTGTGAATTCAGCTATAGAGTTCCTACTTATCTCATTACTTTCACTACTCACGATAGCAATGTCAATTTGGTCAAACATTGCAAAGATACCACCATAATCAAAATGCCACTTCCTGTGTTAAACATATGTAGATGCGGAATGTATGATAATCACAGGTTACCCCCCCATAAATTTGGTCCCAAAAAAAATGGTGAAACTGACATGAATAATATAATTAATGAGCTTCAATTTAGAGTAGTAAAAATTACGACAACCTATTCATGTTAATAATTAACTATGTGGGGAAGAAACAGAGAAAAGTCTGCCCAATGTAGAATTTTACCCATAGTGTCTCACTCAAACATATGAGCAGCAAGAATTTTGAAGATAATTATTAAAATAAATTACATTGACACCCCCTGAGGTTTCTAACAAATACAGGGTAACCCTGAACCAAACCAAAAATTACACTAACATCCCTTGTCAAGGTTGTCGATTGACGGGCATTAAAACTTAACCTCTATCCAAGATACATATGCATCTGATCAAATAACATAAAGAGAATCTCAATAAATTTATCAGGCTGCCTAATGTGAAGTTAATCTGGTGTTTGCCCAAGCAACATACGACAACTTAGAATCAAATGTTTTATATTTTATTTAGCAAAAACAAAAACTACCTGATAATAGTATTGGTCATTAATTTTGGTCTATCACATCTCCTAAATTTAGCCCCTTTTTTCTTGTTGGTTTGATAAAGTGTGATACATTTGTATATTATTACCATATTTTTATTTGATTTTTTTATGAGGATATGAATTAAGATGCATACACAACTTAATTTTTATTTTTTATGCGAACCTAATAAATTTTAAATTGTACTTAGGATGTTACATTTTATTATTAAAGACATAATTGTCTTGTCATTTTTATCTAATTGAGGGCATTCTTATATCTTATAAGTTATATAACATTGGCCTAATAACCTTGAGGTTATGGGTTAAATCTCGGAGCAATCACTTTGTGCACTATGTCAAAGGTTAGATGTATACCCAATCTTTTTTTTTCTTTTTTTTTGATAAATAAGGTGTGTACCCAATCTTTCTCCTCCCAAAGACACATAAATGTGTATTAATTGGGACTCTTTTTTTTCATATCTTATAAGTTATATGTAATAAGAGCATTGTTTTATATTTTAAAATATCAAATTGCTGACAACACCATCTTTAGTTATGTTTTTTTTTAATGTTTAGTTACCATAAGGGGTGTTCTCGTATATTATTAGGAAAAGTAAAGGGTGATTGTAATTGCCCTTGAGATTTGCCTAAAATACTAATCGCCTCCTGAGGTTTGCTGACAACACTGAGGTTGAGCTCAACAGTGAAATCTACAAGTAGAAAGGAGGATCACAGAAATAACAATAAAAAAAAATGAAAAAAAAAAAATATCATTTACACCAAAAATGATAATTGTGCAAAAGACTCATCTTAATTCTATAAATGAAGAACAAGGATCTGGTGAATCAAATTAATTCATAGAAAATCATATCAAGGAGATAACATAGCCATAGCTTTAAAAGAGGAGAGAAAGGGTTTGTTTGGCATAATTCAAAATTAAACGGGAAACTTTTGATAGCTAATAGAAATTGAAAATCTAAGGATTAAATTTTTTTGTTAAGATTTAATATAAAATCAGTTTCATTAGGTGTATTAAGCATTTAGTGATTAGTCAAATTCAAACCCCCTTCTAAGATGACATAGATTTAAGTGGCAGCTGATCATTGCCCATCAAAGACACATAACCTCACAGACTCATTGAAAGTTTTAGACAACATCCCTTAATATAGTTTACCCAACAACTTCTATGCATCCTCTTCTAAGGAAGATGTCAACTAAAAAGACAAAATATGCAGGATAAAAAACTAGACATATAATGTAAAATGATAATCAGGCATTGGATTGTGCTTCAAGATATCTACATCAGACCTCACCTTGGAGGCATCAGACAGAGTGTAGTCTGAGGCCAACAATATACCAACCCAATAATGTCCCAAGACAAACTTGGGGATTGAGGGGGCGTTATTTATAGAGAACCACAACAGATATAATCTTTTCCTCAACAAGAATCAAAACTACATCATGTTTTAACTATTCAAGTACGAAATTAAAGTAACTTCAAAAGCACTTTCTTAGTCTAGGTAACTCACAAAAGCATTCAACTGGTATATATTCTATAAAATTACCTCTTGAATCCCGCTTTCCTTCAAATCCTCTCCGTGGAACAATGACTGCCATGCCAGCAAAAATTGCACATAAAACAAAACAAATATGTCAATATATGCCAAAGCAAGGTTTTAAACTTTATAAGGAAACATAAACTGCCACAAATCACTTCACTTTTTCTTATCTAAGAAACACGGACACTTCAAAGGTACTATGTCAATGTCAAACACTAACACTCATTTGACACTTCCAACTTATGAAGCACGGATACTTTGACAAAGGGGTTGTATCCGTGTAGTAACCATATCGAACATTGATATTCATCGGATACTCGCATATACATATCTGATACATCCTAAACATATCCACAATTATAAATTAATTTTCTCTAAACTTTTAGTACTTTTTATTTTATTTTATTAAGTTTAGTATTGAGTAAGTATTGAAGAATACTTTCTAGATACTCTACATATCCAACCCATCTTGAAATTAAGATGTAGTATTTCTTGTGTAGCATTAGAGTATAATTGTTAGAATAAATGAAAGAATAGTTTTCAATATGTTGTATACAGAAAAATTGGGAAATTGTGAGTTTAAAACATGTCAAATTTGGTCAAAGCTTGCACATAACAGATTTGAATCCAAACCAAAAAATTGATAATCCAATTCATAGATATACCTAATATTCTTCAAACGAGGCATAAAGACCTCTATCCCCTGAAAAATCCGCTGATTACACTCCAACCAAACCAGCCACCCCGCCAACTGCGGAACACATCCACCACACTATTGCACCCAATCCAAACCAAACACCGAGAAAATGAAGCCCCAAAGTTGATTTGCCACATAACAGTTAAGTAAAAGATAAGAAATAGACACTGCGTCCCGACAGAACATACAGCACCAATTAACCAAATTCTGACGACGTTGTTTCAAATTTTATCATTTATGAATTTCATAAGACAAATAATTAATCAACCCAAATTCTCTACAAAGCCCTACTACACACATAAAAGATCAATCAAAGCATACGGAAGCCAGAAGGTTCCAAAAAGTGCAACTCCAACAATAAAGACATATCGTTCTCAATGGATTTACTTGGAAGTTCATGGTTAAACAAATTACCCATTTTCCGGAAGTAAAGGAAATTGGTGACGAGCCGCCAAAACTGGTAATGCTTGACCACTAGCTTAGGGTGCAAATACAAGTTATAAGGAGAGATTATCTGCAAATAAAATTCACTAGTTAAATATCAACATTGATAAAACTAATGATACATAAATGACTACTTACTCTAACAACTTCCAATTAACCCATCATGTAATTAAAATACAAAATTTGAAATACATTAAAAGTTAATAAAAACCTATTAATCTCCAATAACCACCCAAAAAAATCCATTCTTTTCACACATATATACATATAGATAACTAATAATCGCGCCAAAATTAAAATTAAAAAAAAAAAAAAAATTGATAATAAGCCTAACCCAATAATACCCAAATGCATAGATTCTGAACTGCTGAGTAGTAGATGACGAAATCAATAATTCTGTACAATTTGCTCACACTTACATACAAATACATAAATACATCAATCGATAGACACAGAGAGAGAGAGAGGCATACATCGAGAGAGCAACCGACTGTGATAACAATTGCAGCAGTGAGATAAGAACGGGTGATGATTGGCATCTGCTTGTAAAGGCTAGAAAGGGATGATCAAATTATCCCATTTCAATTAGCCATCATCCACATCACTAAAAAAACACACAACTGAGAGTAAAGGCTAGAGAGGGATAATCACCGCATTATATATATATATAGAGAGAGAGAGACAGAGACAGACCGAAGGCAAAGGCTAGAGAGGGAGAAACAGAGAGAGACAGACAGACAGACCGAGAGGATGCTGCGGCGGCGGTGGCGCTAGCTGTGGCGTGCGACGTTGGTCTGAGATGAGGTGAGATTGGGTGAGGATCTTCTAGAAATGAGGAGTCCATTACACAAAGGGTAATGGCGATTTCCGGCGGTGGCGATGTGCGACGGACGTGAGCAATGGTGGTGAGGGACTTCGGTGAGCTACATAGAGTTGGCACCGATTGAGAGAGAGAACACAGAGAGAGGGAGAGGGCAGACCAACATAGACACAGAGAGCGGGCTAGATACAGAAGAGATTAGGGCTGGTAAATTTTTTTTTTTTTTTAAATTCAACATATTACGACGTCGTTTTAAAAAAGGCGACCAAATTTTTTGTCGCAAAAAAAATTCAATTCCCGCATGCACAGACTTTCAAATTTTCCTCCCAAAGTTTTGGCGACCAAAATACCAGATTAGTCGCAGAAAATGTACCTTCGCCGACAAACTTCTTTAGTCGCCAAATCTTAATCAACAGCGACTAAAATATTTGTTGCTAAAAATACTCATTTCGCGACTAATTTATTTTTGGTCGGCAAAATGTGGCATTCCGCGACCAAATTTGTAGTTGGTCGCCAAAAGCATACCAATTTCTGCGACTAACTCATTTTTGGTCGCCAAAATGTGACCTTCTGCAACCAACTCATATTTGGTTGCCAAAAATATTGATCATTCGCGACTAATTAATATTAGGTCGCCAAATGTCATTTTTTTGCGACAAAAATTTTTTTGGTCGGCAAAAGTGGTCGCCAATTGTGTAAATTCTTGTAGTGAATATGATATAGAAGTAAATTTCTGTTGTGTACACTACAAGAAATAAGGGTTTTCGCGACATTTTTTTAACGGCGTTTTCTTAAACGTCATTTTTATTAACATTTGTCGACGTTTTAAAAACGTCGTATGTTTAGTGAATTAAAACGACACCGTTTTATGGTCAAAGGCGTTTGAAAACGCCTCCAAATGCGGTACGTGACACGCGCCTATTTTGAATATGAGAGTAAAGCCTTTGTAAACCCTCAGTCTCCAAACACAAACATTGAATACTCACGTCGCCTCTCTCTCTCAATCCTCTCTAAACCCTTATTTTGAATCTCACATTCAAATCTCACAGATTCATTGATTTCGAAGCTCCACCTCCACCACCATCTGCACCAGCCAGGTAGCGAGATTCACCGATTCACCGATTTCACAGATTCACCGATTCAAATCTCGCAGATTCACCGGTTTCAGATCGATCTGCACCGCCACCGCGATTTCGATTCAGATCGGTCTGCACTGTCACCCGATTTCGATTCTCTCTCTAGATCTCTCTCTCAGATATTCATCTTTGATTTCATCTTAAAGCGATTTCGATTTCTCTCTCTCTCGATTTCAAAGCTCCACCGCCACCACCATCTATGCAAGCTTCCATGGCTTAGCACCTCATCTCCTTATCTCTTCCACTTTGTATATACATATACATATATGTATATTTATCGATTCTCTCATGTACATACACGTATTTGTATAGACACCGATCGATAATGGAGCAGAGCTTCTTCGATTTGATCTATTTTCTACACTGCCCAGCTCCTGAATGGGTAAAAAGTTATTGATGGAATTTTAGGCAAAATATGTTCCTAATATGGTTGTATTTAGGCTTTGTTTCACAGGAGGAAAAGAAGTTCATAAAACAACAATGTGCTGCATGCAAAATTTGGCAAAAGCTTTCTCAAGCTATGAGTTGGAAGTACTGGTACAGACAACATGCACATCCCTCCATTTAGAAGCATCTATATAGTTTACAGTATTTTTTCAGACCAAAACTGATGAGTTTATTGACCTTTGGTCCCTGACCCTTTGTTTTTATTTCAGGTTAAGCGGGAAGGGCTGCTTCAATATGCTCAAGGTGCTATTGCAGGGCTGAAACTAAATTCTGATATTGCAAGGTTGTTAACATTTATTGTCTGTCGCATGAGTTGGGTGTTAAAGTGTCATTGTTTTTCCTTTTAGAATGAAGTTCACATATATTTGTCTTAGATTCAATTTGTAAGTGTGAATGTGCATGTGCCCATATCTATTGAGGCGCGTTCCTGTGTCTACCAAGGGGGCAGTTCTCCTATATGCTTTGACTATACTAATGTTGTCCTTGTAATTCGTAACTTATTAGTTTTTTGTTGTACTTATTGAAATGTTGAATTTTTTGAGTTAGCTGGGAGCATGTTGCATTTGGAGTCCTTGAGCAACTTTTTGCTCAAGTACATGAATTTTGGTATTTTGTTTTATTTGTCGTTCTGGCTTTATAGTTTGTAAGTTAGTTTATTCAAGGGTTTAAACATTGGCTAATCAACTTGCTTTGGTGTAATGATTCTGAATGAATTACTATAACTGAGTGAGTTTATCTTTAGTTTGTTCTTTGGAAGCTTCTTCAGTTTTAGTGTGGCACTTGTGGGAAAAGCTCATTCATTGTTTGCTTGACTTATCAATTTGCTTGAGTATACATGAGTAGTTGCTATACATGAGGACATTGTTGTAATGCTTGATTATTTATCAGGTTCAACTGTTATTAATAGAATTGGTCTATGATATCTAATGAGAAAAACAGAAGAAACTGTTCTAGGATATTGATTAATATGGTTGGCTTGTTTTTCTGTGTTTTAGCAATATGGACCATTGACTTTGAGTCTTTGAGAGGTATGAGTTTGATCATCTCCCTTGTCGGCTTCCAGACAGTTCAACTTATGGGCAAATTACTACTCTACTCAAGATTCAGCCAAAAAAAATTTGAAAATTTTCTTTTTGGGACATGCAGCAATTGTTTAAAGCCTTTAAGACCTATACTTCATTTAATGTTAGGTCTTGGATCTCGAAAAAATTGAGCTGTTACTTCTTCCCTAATGCTTAATAAGGAGTAAAAGAGTAATTCAGAAACACTAATTAGTGTACCAACTAACACACTAACTAAAAGAAGGGCAGGACATACTAACTTCCCCTCAATCCAAATGTAGCAAAGGTGACATAATATGCTAATTTCTTTTTGAAGAAATGAACATGAAAGGTTAACAAGATTACATAAATACTTTGTTTTATATTTCATAAGCATGTCTCCGAATTTATTTTGTAATTGGATATGATGTAGGGGTGTGACGCATCAATTCTCCTTGATGGTCCAAATTCAGAGAAAACAGCACCACAAAATTTTGTTACTTTATGATTGGCATTGTGATCCAAAATTTTGCTTTGGTTAATTATGTTGGTTTCACAGTAGGATGTCATCTACTCCATGTTGAATTGCTTTGCTGAATAGTTTGATGTTTATGCTACATAAATAGAAAGTTTCATTTTCAAGATTTCATAGAAATCATCTACATGAAGCTAATATAAACATGATGGACAATTTAGAGTTATATTTTATATTTGAATATGTAGTTTGAACGGGAGGCATTTATTCTTATTCAAAGTCCAAACCATAATATAGGGAGTGATATTAGTTATACTAACCATTTACTCTTCTCAAAGTGATTGAATAGTTGGAAACAAAAATGCATAAAATGAAAATTTATTGAGAACATGGAAACAAAAATGCATAGAATGAAAATTTATTGTCTTAGAACTTTTAATTGTTTTTGTTTCTAAGAACATGAAAAACAAAAATGCATAAGATGAAAAATGATACCAAGCAGCCCAATTTCTATTCTCTGCTTTGCTAGTTTTATGACTTTTGAACATATGCAACTAAACAATAAACATTAACACTGACCTTATTGCCGAAGCTATTTTGGTTGGTTCCAGAGCACAGTACAACATCTGTTTGATGCATTGACAAGGCTGTATTTTGTTTTGGACCTTGCCAAAATTTGTCTGGAAATAGGTTCACCCAATATTAATCAGGAAAAGAATTGTTGTAATGAATGTCTTTTACCTTCTTTTGGTTTATATAACCTGATGCTTCGTGATTACTTTCCAGGTTCCCTAATAAAGCATCAGCTTCTGAGTAATCTTACACTTAGTATAGCTGTACATACTGTGTTGGAGGCATTGCGTAAACCTCCAGACACAAAAGTGAGTTTTTAATCTTTCATGTTTGGCTTTTATCTTTATCTTGCAATAAATTTAAAAAAATAAAATAAAATAGAAAGCTAATAATGTTCTCCCCTCCTAGGTATTTGCTTATGGAATCTTGACTTTGGAGCAGTTTCTTGACCGCCTGGTGGATCTGCCACTGCTTTGCAATCATATTTTGCAAATATCTCATTTACATGGTACTCATGTAGAGCTTATTGCATTTATAGAGCATACTCTGGCTAGAATATCATCAAGCCACTTGATATCAAATGGAGGCAGCAGTTCTTTTACTGATCCCCACAGTGGTTCTATTCCCACTACAGTGGAGATGGTGGAGGTATAAAATTAGTTTCTTCTATTGACCCATGCAATGTATTTAGACCCCATAAACACCAATCAGTTTGATAAATTTATTTCTTGTTGGATTGACTTTAGTTGAACTATTATTGTGTTTGATATTTTTTGTTAGAATGGAATGTTATTTTAAAGCCCTAACATGCTTCAATCTTCTTCAAGATCCCTTCTTGTTCTCCGCCTCCTTTTCTTGTCGCCAGTAGTGCTAGAAGCCATAGCTGGCTTCAATAAAAGAGCCTTGTTCTTTTAATTTATTATGATGTTCTATAAAATTGTTATGGTATTATGAAGAATGGATGTACTTGCAATTATCTTACTTAGTCAAATAGGGTTACAAGAAAATTCAACCTGATCTTCTTAAATTCTTATGTAAAAGACATATAAGATAACTGAGAAAAAGAAAACACACACACACACAACATATATATCTCTGTATCTTCATGTACAGCCATGTCCTTTGTAGATTGAGTTGAGGTGGCCAGTCATTGCAAATAAGACCAATGACTACACCAAAACCAATTTCACCCCCTGGGAATTCTTCAAATGTTTCCTTGAGTGATATTCCTAATCCTCAGAAGGTATTACATTGTATTTTATTTTTTATGAATAAGTACGGAACTGTATCAGATGGACACCAAGGGGGTGTCACCCCTGTACAGCAAAAGAAAAAAAAATTAATTAGACACAAGAACCCCAAAACTAAATCCCTTCCCTAAAATGTAACTCCTATAATATCTACCAAAAAATAAAAAGTCTCCTCGAAAAATGAATAAATCAGATTGAAGTAAGCTTTATAGACGTCTGTACATCCTTAGAAGGCATTGTATGTATTGTTTTCAATAAAATTACTCTTTTATTGGTTTTATTTATTTATTTTAATTTACACATCTAAGATGTTCTTTGCCTCCAATTATTGAAACAAATAAATTATTAAATATTAAATTCCATTTCAATTTGTTTTCAACAATGTTATTTTGTGACAGGTTACCCTGTTTCCAAAGATGCCTTTAGATGGAACTCATGAGATACAGAGCTTTTGCCTTGGTCATTCTAAGTGAGTGAGTTTTTTATCTTCGAATATGTTGCAAAGCAGATGTGATTTCCATGAATAGTTTTCTGAATAGTTTTTCTCTACAATAGTGCAGATCCGAGGGGGAATGCAGAGCCAAAGGGAGGGTGAGGGGCATCCAATTGTGGTGAACTAGGTTGATATGGTAGGAAAATGATTTGTGTGTGAATGTGGTTATTGTGAATGAGAATATGAATATCAAGTTGGCTCAAATGTCCAGATTTGTATTTTGGTGAACTCAGATTCCTATTTTGGCTCAAATAGAGGGACATCCAATTTTGGTGACTCCTTAATGTAATTCAAACGATTTGTGTGTGAATGTTTTTTTTTTTTTTGGTGACTCCTTAATGTAATTCATTTGATAAGATTTTACTATGTGAATGGGAGTTATTATTTCATATTAGTGTTATTTTTCAGTTTTATTATAGGTTTTTTTTGGGTTCAATAACCTAAAATTAGCACAATTAAAAAAAGAAAAAAAAAGGGGCTATCACGGCGTTTCTAAAAACGTCGTTAAATAGCATCAGACATACGACGGCGTTTTAAAAACGTCACTAAATAGCATGTGACGTCATGTTACCGTTGGCAGAACTTTTAGCGGCGTTTTTATAAAACGCCGCCTATTGGCATATAGCGACGTTTATAAAGCGCCACAGAGTTATAGCGACGGCCGCATCTTCGACGTTTGGTGCTAAACGCCACAAAATATTTAACGGCGTTTTTAAGACCTATTGCGGCGTTTTTTAAACGCCTCTAAAATCAGAATTTCCAGCAGTGGTAATTGAAGTCCAAGATTTTCTAACTCAGTTGCTTGAACTTTTGCCTCATTTTCCTCGCATCAACTTCACAGATATCGGCTTCTAACGAATTGCCAGATGTTACTAGATGTCCAGGTCAGAAATCCACTGCCGAAAGAGGCGTCTCTAGTAGCTACCCGGCTAAATGTCACTTGATAAGTCATTTTCTGGTTCACTTTCGAGAATTGTAGTCTAGTAGTATTGAGAGTCACATTAACATTCAGTGGTGCAACAATGACAGAGTCACAAGACAAATTAGCCTCTCCAACGTTTGTTACAGTTCTCATTTAAGTCTGATCATCACCAGAACAAAGAGTGATAGAAAATGAAGGATAATTTAGTTGTGCTTCTGGTATTTTGGATACTTTTGAGCACTTCACTGCACGTTTTGTAATGAGTTAGATGCCTTGGTCAGTGTAGTTCAGTCCACACAAGTAAGGTTTGTAATCATTAGGTTTAAGGTCATAGACATGAGTCCTGGATTGATGGCTCTTGATGGGTTGACATGACCTGAACCGGTAGCAAATATGTTTGCTGGAAGGAACCTTTTGTCGACAATGGGCTTGCTGGCGAGGTTTGCTAGGTCAGCAGTAGTCATGATTGCAGATTTGATAGCAGCAGGCGACCAATCAGGATGCGCGCTTTTGAGCAAGGCCGTCATGCCACTAAGGTGAGAACAAGACATTGAGGTACCCAAAATTACGTTAAATGTCAATGTAGAATTGGTCTTGTTTTAGACAGAGACAGGCCAGGCGGTTAGAATACTCACACTGGGGCCAATGACATCCGGTTTTAAGATGCCCGGGCTAGCCTTGCTTGGGCCTCTTGTGTTGGCAAATTTGAATTTAAATTTACTCCAATGGTTGTGTTTCTTGAGATGGAAAGGTGTGTCCTTTTGAAGGGTTACAACCTTTCTAAAGAGTCATGAAGGAATTTATAAATTCCATCCCCATCACTTTATTTTAGAATATAGAATTGCAATTTTCTTCTTCACTTTGCATTTATTCTTCATATTTTTTGAGCCTAATTTACCTATAAAGAGAGTACATGCATAGCGAAGTTCGCTAGGCTTGCAATACTAGTGCTGCTAGTGTAAGATATTGATCGTTGTATTTTGGGAGATAGATGTCCATTGAATCCTAAGCATCGGTGGGAGGACGACTATGTCTTAAGGAAAGAGTGTCACACACTCGACTCGATCAGGTTTTATTTATTTATGTACTGTAAGTTTTGTTTCGTTGTTTTGTCAATTTATTTCAGTTTTGGTTTTGCCCAAAAATCATTTACATATTTTTAAATTATATTTTCCTTATAGTTTGGTAATAGTACCGTCCAACAATCTTAAGACAGAATCTGTGTCTGTTTATGGTTTTTGGTACAATATAACTGATATGCCCGATCTTTTCATAATTGGAATTTGAAAAGAAAAATCTGAGTTTGGAATGTTTCTTATTATTTGAAAAATCTGAATGTTTTTATGGTCTTGATTGGTGCTTATGATCGAGAATTTATTACATATGACGGCTTTTTAGTTGTAGTGTGGGTGGTCAAAAAAGTGATATAACCCACAATGAAGTAAATTGAATGATAAGAAGGCTGAAGTTCTTCCTCGATTAATTTTAATCGGTTACACATGCCTCTCTTCTCTCTATTTATTGCTCCACTGAAACACCACACCACACAACACAAAACAAAACCAAAATTGCATAATTCGAATGTTGCAGAGCCGCCGCAGAGAGATAAAAGTCTTCTACCATTGCAATCTCGAACTCACCTGTGTTTTCTCCATCTAGGGCTTCGGCTACAGAAGCCTCCGAGCGGGCTTAATAGGGCTTCTAATGAGTGTGCGGTTTCAACTTCGTCTTTGTCTTCTTCTCCGCCAGCGCTGTTGAAGAGGAAGAGGCCGACAAGGTTAGACAATTCTGAATTCGGGAATGGGCTTTGGTGGTGGTTGTGTGGCGACGCTGGTGGTGGGAGTGGAGAGGAGGGAGGTTGTGAAGGCTGAGAGTGATGGGTATTCGGTGTTTTGCAAGAAAGGACTATTGGAGGATGCTAGGAAGCTTCTTAAAGAAAAATTAGATGAAAATTGTGACAACGGAAGATCAAATTTAATCACTTTTACAATACTCATGGATGGTCACTTCAAGAATGGAGATACGATGCAGGCTTTTGTTTTTTGGGATGAGATGCTCCAAAGGGGTACCCAAATGGATGTTATTTCCTATAATGTTATAATTCATGGATTTTGTTCGAGCCGAAACGTGACAGTTTCATATAGATACTTATTTGAAATGTTCAAGAGTGGCCTTATTCCCGATGTTTTCACTTACAATACACTTATAAGTGCGCTTTGTAAGGAAGGAAAGATTGATGAGACTTGTTATATCTACAGTGTTATGTCAAGAATGGGGGTGGCTCTTGATCATATCACATACAAAATGTTTATTCAAGGCCTTTGTATTCAGGGGCATGTAATCAAGGCTAATGAGTTTCTTGTTTCTATGTTAGAGAATTTGATTGTACTTGGGCCTCTCGTTTGGAGTGCTATAATTGATGGCTATGGTAGAAGTGGAGATATTCAAAATGCTAAAAATTATGATTATGTTTGACTGGTTAATCTTGTCCATGTCTAGATATGTTGTAGCGTTGACAATTAATAACATCATTTTTTTTATGATGTCATTAATATCAATTTGGTATGTAGTGTATTATAAATGGATGTCAATTATTTATCAAAGTGTTGATAAAAATGTGAACTTATGTGTTTTGACATAAAAGGAATTCCAACTATTGTTTGGAATAATGACTAAAATTGGTGTGGTGACTGATCCGTAATGAAAAATTATATGAGTTAAAATATTTCATGGGTAAAAGACACTTTGGTAATTGTGGGCGTAGTCACAAATACTGGATAAAACAAATAAGATGTAAATGTATTTATATAGGGATATTTATATTCCATGTTGAGATTGGAATTAAGGGTTGCAGTAAACAAAAAGAAATTAATCATAGCTAAAGAAAAGTTTTTTTGACAAAGTGTTGTGGCCACAACCAGTATTAGTCATTTCTTCTTTATACTGCAAAAGCAAGTTATGAAGTCTAATTATATTTTAGACAAATTAGTATTGTGATTGTATTTATAAAGCAATTTACATCTTGTTATTTAGTTCAAGCATGGCAATTAATGTTATATTCTGATTTATTTCAGAATTGTGGGGGTGTATTTATTATACACCAGCAAGAGAAATTAAGTTTCCTTGGAATGCTTAAAATGTGGGGGTGCTTGGAGGATTTTACCAAAGTAATGGTTCCGATTGTAGGTCCACAAAGAATCTCAATTTTTTTTATAGGACAAAATTGTAACGCCCCAAATTTCTAGCCCAAATGATAATACAACAATTATGACTCTTTCAAGGTAAATCGAATATAAATCTCCAAACTTACATTACATGATACAATAGTTCTTCATGCAACAATACATTAATCCAACAACAAGTAAATAAACAAATAAATACCCCTAAGGGTTTACAAGTTTCCAAGACTTGAGCTTGGTTACACAAAACGGTTATTCAAACCCACACACATACAACCCTTGGCTTACACATAGAGTCACAGTAAAATGAGAGTCTCGTACTTTCAACACACATTTCCTTGCCTTTAGTTAGGCGGCATCACCGTATCTTTTCCTGCACAAAAATCCCGTAGGGTGAGCATAAAGCGCAGTAGGAAATCCTTAACAAAATATATACATTTTATACAAGTCTCAAGAGATGAAATGCAAATGTCATGCTATGCACCTTTTTGAAGATAAATCACATTTTCATCTTTTGAAAACCATTATGCTCAATGATGTCATGCGATTTCAATTGTTCAAAACTTAATAATTTATTTCAAGGGCTGTAAATACGACTCTGGTAATCCCTAGGTTGGTGTCTGCAAGTAGACTATACAAGTACTACCAAATTGTTATTTTTACCGGTATTAATTGGAAGGCTCGACACCTATCCGCGCGGATTTTCGGTCTTTCATCCCGGACTCTCAGGCCAACTTATTCAATATCATCTACACCACCTATCAAGACTTACCAACGTATTTATCCCAAAACCATTTCATGAAAACTTGTTTCTCAACATTCTTTTCTCAATGCAAGTTTTCAAATCAACTTTCAAAGTTTAATGTAATCAAATGAATTGTTATGCCAATAACACAAGATGAATATAAATATTTTTATTCCAATTCATCATCCAAGGAATAACACAATTCCCTCTTCTCAAGTATCCTCAACAATTAGTAATTTCAAGACTATTTCAATGTTTTGAACAATAATTTTCAAAATGAACAACAATTCTCATATTTCCTGAAATTCATCATTTATATAAATATAAATAAATTTTTTTCCAAACATTCATTTATTTTGACACACAAAATAAATACAACAATATCATTCATGGATTTTCAGTATCTTTTAAAAAAACTCCCAAATTTTAGGTTTTCTCACCAAAACTATACAACTCAAATCTTTTGAAAGAAAACTTTCCAAAATCATCTTTTCTTCAATCAACAATCAATTTTCAAAGCTATTGAAAGATAATTTCAAAAATAATATAGATCTTGCAAATATATGTATATATATATAACTCTAAGAAAATCCCTACCTCAAGTTTTGAAGAAGAAATGAGATGAAACCCCCAAAATCAACAGTGTCAAAACTCGATCTTCACCGCACACAACGAAGTCCTCGAGATGATAACCAACTTTGGTGAAGAACTTAGGTCTAAATCCCAATGTATTTGGAGGAATCAAAGAGAGAAGAAGACTTTTAGAGTGAAAAGCTCCCGATCTGGAATTTTAGAGAGTTTTAGAGAGAGAGAGAGAGGACTGAAAAAGTGATTTGAAATATCAGATTCACGAACTGATATAACATGGTCCACTCGAGCGTGGAAAGCCCCGCTCGAGCGTCAAATACACTTTTCTAGTACTTTTGCAGACAGGTCAAACTTCTGGAACCAAACATTCTCCGCTTGAGCGCATAAACGGCCGCTCGAGCGAACAAGCAACTTCTAATACATTTTGCATTTTTGCTTCGGGGGTGCTGCCCCTCAACCCCACCAGGGCGCTGCCCTAGGACCTGCCAAGGAGCGCTGCCCCCTAGACCCCTGCAAGCTGACCGGGTAGCTCGATCTCCGACATACTTAGCGAAGTGGCAAAACTGGGATTGCTACAAAGTTGGAGTAGAAGCAAATATGGTTTCATTAACTCCTAAGGAACACCTCTACGTTTATTATTTAAATTTGAAAATATGAGTGACATAGAGTAACGGTAAGTCTCGAACTAATCAAAGACTTAATACCGTAAAACATTCACTTTCAGTTGTGCATATTGTCTAAGGATAATATAGTGGATCCATAAACTACTCAATGATATATAACTGAGAAGGTGAATTGGAAAAATAGCGGCCGCTAAACAAAAAGTTTGACCAGAGAGCAAATGAGGGAAAGTTCATCGAGGGGAATGTGATTAAAGCCTATTACATCAGAGTCATCATAATGGTAACCCTACTTAGATGACTGCAGACCCCAAGAACTAAGTTCAAAGGGACAACTAAGTTATGTGTGGCTCGCCAGAAATCACTAAAGGAGTCTATCTCCTATCCATTCCTATCATAAAAGTGATATCTGCAACATGTGTTGTATGTAGGGGACCTAGGGTAAGCTATGCTTTTAATGATCACTTATATCTTGAAAACCCTAGAGCGGTATCTTTCAAGAGGAGTATTTAAGAAACTTGAAATAAAGATCACCTATATGAGTGTGAAAGGGCCACTTCTATGAGAATTGATAAGGCTAAATTTTCTAAAGCACTCATGAAATACCAGGACTTGCCCAAGGCCAAAACAGGCATAACCGTGAGAACTAAACTGTGTCTAGAGATATTCTGTGTGAATTCTATTGTCTTGGCTTACACAAACGGCTGAACAGTTCAAGGTATCATGTCCACTGATTAGCTAGTAAGTCCGATAGGCTTTCACTAGAGAAGGTTCAAAGCCAAAAGCTACCTATCCCGATGTAGGGTATTTCCTTAATGTACTCTCTCTTTGTCGACATGTTGTTCCATGTCCTTTCCGTAAATTTCATTCATGTGGGGGATTGTTAGAAAATTTGAATTTAAATTTACTCCAATGGTTGTGTCTCTTGAGATGGAACGGTGTGCCCTTTTGAAGGATCACAACCTTTCTAAAGAGTCATGGAGGAATCTATAAATTCCATCCCCCTCACTTCATTTTAGAATATAGAATTGCAATTTGCATTTTCACTTTGCATTTATTTTTCATATTTTCTTGGTCTAAGTTTCCTATAAAGAGAGTATATGCACAGCGAAATTCGCTAGGCTTGCAATAGTAGTGCTGCTAGTGCAAGACATTGATCATTGTATCCTGGGAGATAGACGTCCATTGAATCCTAAGCATCGGTGGGAGGACGAATCTGTCTTAAGGAAAGAAAGAGTGTCACACACTCGACTCGATCAGGTTTTATTTATTTATGTACTGTAAGTTTTGTTCCGTTGTTTTGTCAATTTATTTTAGTTTTGGTTTTGCCCAAAAACCATTTACATATTTTTAAATTATATTTTCCTTATAGTTTGATACTATTTTTTTCCAACATCTTGATGAGAAGGAATTCACCATGGGAGCAGAATTGCCCCCCTATAATGGTTCCTTTAAACACAATTGTAGCTGTCGGTGTCTTTGTTGATTTTATGTACTCTTTGATCTTTGTTCAGCAGCATAACTCACTTCTGTTGTTAGCAGGACATGAGGGTTGGGCATGTAGTAAACCCGTCTTTCTCTTCGTTCATGAGTATCATGGTGACCCTACCAACGTCATGCACTGCCTGCCCTTTCGTGACACTTTCTATGTTGCCACCTACCTCACACAACACTACCTTTCCTTTGAGGTCAACGTTGATCAACAAAGATGGGTCACACAATGCCAAGGTTAGTTTGCTGGTGTCGGCATAGACAAGAGGCACTACTAAAAAAAAAACTTTTCGCGACCGCCATAAACCGTCACAAATAATAAAAAAACAGTCGCAAAAGGCCTTTTGCGACAGCCCATGTGACAGCAAATGGGGGTGGCAAATGTGGGGTGGCAAATACTTTTTGCAACGGCAAAGCAACAGTCACAAATTATTCGCGACCGCCTAAACTACTTATAGCGACCGTTATTTTACCGTCACAAAAAACAAAGAAAAATGCTAACATGATTTTTGGTGATCATCTTGTTATTGCCGCAAAACAAAGAAAAAAAGTGTGTAACATTAAGCACTCTAGGAATAGCAATGACAAGAATTCAGACAATATAGTATTGTAGTTTAATCAAGCATTCCATTTGAGTCTCAAAATTGGAGCCATATCTGAAAGTTATTACAACTAAAAACTTGGAAAAAGTTATTTTATGAAAAAAATACAATCCAAATAGAATGCTAGTAAAGTCAAAATCTACAATGCTAGTGTTCACCACTGTACAAGGTATTGGTTGAGTTCCAATTTGTTACCATGGATATATATGTTCCTTAAATCCAAGCTTGCACCTAATCAATACACATTATG